CACACACACACACACACACACACACACACACACACACACACACACACAATTTGGTGGTTACGGTTGTTTCCCTTGTTGGAATTGCTGCACTTAGAATTATACAAATTTCTGCTGTATTCCTGACATTTACTTATATGAATTCTCCTTTGCATCTTAGTATAGTCCCCCAAGCTTTCTTTTTAGGGTTGCTTATAAGCTGTAACTTCTAGCATTCCATTTTTAACCTGTTGGTTTGTGAACAATTTATCCTAATGTAGTTATTGAAACTATTTTTATCTACTTAGTGCTAAAAACTAAAAGTTGTTTCTTACCTACTAACCTATTCTTTTTTTGGATATTGTTCTCTGTCTCAACTTGAATTATTTTTGTCATTTTTTTCTTCTATTGCTGCCTTTTTTGTGATTGTTGAAAAAGTTACAATATAGAAGTTCATTTTAGAACAACTTCTTTAGTTGTTTTAAAAGGCACTGTAGTCTGTGTTTAAGTGTGACCTCATGGCTGCTGTAGACAGGTCTGAGAGGGTCATGAGGAGCCATGCTGCACCATGGCTACTGGGGTTCATATGTGCCTAACTGAGCTGGCTTTTGTTCCTGGAACAGTTAGAGGTTGTTGTCATAGTGTCTTGATTTCACTAGTATTTTTTTTTCTTTTATAGTCCTTATTAATATGTCTGGAATTGAGGTGATTTGTTATTGACGTTAGCATAATTTTACATTTTTATGTGACAAATTTCAGTTGACAATGTTAGTGCTCAGCTTTTAATTCACCTGCGAGATGTGTTAAAATTTGGAAGTATGCCCCTATCTCAGTAGTTAAGGCCTCAGTGTATCTAAGTAGTTAAGGATAAGTTCATCATTAAATCTCATTCTGGCCAATGCTGTGAATGCCTGCCCCAAGAAATTCTGTGAAGTGTAGAATTACAATATCCTTAATATTTTTATTGAATTTATTAAAATTTCACTCAAAATACTCAATTCTATTTATTCAATCTAATCTCTTAATATTTTATCCACAACTAATTCATAAAAACTGGCTAGATTTTAATTTTGCGTACAGCAATAAGTTCTATATTAATTAATTATTCCATTAGCTAATCGTAGCAGTATATAATATGCCTGAGAAATTAGTAGATAATTTTATGTGTTTTGTTTTCACCACACACACAAATAATAACTACTTGAAATAATAGATATATTACTAATTTGATTGTAGTAATTATTTGCCTGTATGTGTTATACCTTAAATACATACGATGTTATCAGGCCTACCTTAAAACCTGATAGAACTGTCTTACCAGATTCTTTCTTTCTTTCTTTCTTTCTTTCTTTCTTTCTTTCTTTCTTTC